AAAGAGTATATACATAATGTAAACAGTTTATAATAAGAAGTATATTAAATTTACACGCACGTTGTTAGGCTGCACACACACACACACACACACACACACACACAACACACACACAATATAGAATATATACGACTTTTATTAAACGTTATTTTCATTTACTTAAAAATGAAAGAAAGGATTTACTGAATCAAAAATGAATGATAAACAATTTGACTAAATTTTTTAAGGATATTTTTATCATTTTTAATTACATTGTATTTATTTTTTTAATTTAATTAAATTATTAGTTAGTTGTTTATTATTTTTAAATATTATAATTCAGTTTTATGTTTTAATTTTGCTTTTAATCTCCCAACTCCCATCATCAAGTAATGTATCGTTGCCAAGCGTTCATAGTAATGTGTGGTTGATGGAACTTAAATTAAAATAGAGCTTATATTAAATTAAAAACTGACAAATTTATAAAATTCCTCATTTCGTTAGTTTTTCCTATCACTCTTTATTATTCTTCTAAAACATTTTGTTACGTATACGAATGTTATAAATGCTCGATTGCCATTTATCGGAGGTTCCATTTCTTTAAAAAATTTTGTGAATACGTTTAGTTAGAAGAACTATTTTCGATTTTCAGGTGTGATATAATAAACGACTTATATATATATATATATATATATATATATATATATAAATTTAGAAATTTAGATAAGCGGAAAGAACAAAAGTAATTTCACATCACCGGATCTCAGATGCTGCCATTATAAAAAAACTTTGTAGTAATTTGCGAAGATATTAAAATACCAAAAACATTAAGCGTTAAGAAACGAAATGCAAATTCGTTTGTTACACGACTCATTAACATATATTAATACAATTATGGATTTCCGAATGTGAGCACGAATTAGCATAAAAAAGATTAAGAGAAAGTACGCTACGTTGTATATTTTACAGATTAAGCAAGATACATTTTTTCTGACCATTTGCTTGAGCAGCTTGTCAAAGGCATCTTATAAATGCCGTCTCGTCGTAACGTCACTCAGCCGTGCGACATTACTCAAGCAGATTTTAAAATTCTATTTACAATGAGACCACATGTCTTAACATAGTCTATCGAGAATCTTGAAGGCACCACTGCCCAGCGCTGATGTTGGCGATTCTGACCCACGGTAATATTTTGGATTTTTTGGTGTGTAGTTTTAAATTTCAGCAATCGCTGCGAGTAACGGCCAAGAGACTTGTTGACTTTTTGTTAGCTTTGCATTTTGTTAATTAAGTCAGATTTATTCATCCATCCATCTATTCATCCATTCATCTATCCTTCATCTATTTACGAATTTCATCCATCTATTTATGTATTTATTTTTACATACAAATTTTATACCATTACAGTTACAACTACATATTAAATAAATAAATATGAAAAGTAAAACTTAAAAATGAATTTGTTTTAAAAAAAACATATAATTTTTATATGTTTTCAAATTAGCAAAAATTTTGAAAATAAATTTTAAAATGATTTTTCAAACTCCATTTTATTCCAGAGCGGTGTAAATTGGTCAAGCTGAAAATTTCAGTTAGGATTTTATAGGAGCATAAATATTATATGCTACTTCATGTCATGCGTTTAAAGTCAATATTCACTCTGTAGGTTAAATTTTTATGACTCAATTTGTGTGGTGTTTGGTATCAATTTCACGTACTTCACTATCTTATTCTTATTCCCGTTGCTGTCGGTTTAAAGTTAGTAAATTATCTCTGCGATGAAAAAATGTTGATAAGATAGGAAGTTCTCTGATGTACGCACATAAAAATACAACTACACGTCATAAATAAGTAGCATTATATGATGAGCACCGCAGGAACAGTCGCTTGTGTCTCAAACATCAAATCATAATTAAGAACAATATATCACAAAAATATAAACAACAACATTAATAATAAGAAGAAGAAAAACAAAAACAACGACAAAAACAACATCGACAACAATATTAACAATGACAACAACGACAAATATAACAGCTACCACCACAACAAAAATAATGATAATTATAACAATAACTAATAATAAAAATAATAAAACAGAAAAAAATAGTAAAAATTAGTAAACAGTTACACAGAATATTAAAGTATGTAAGAAGTATTTTAACAAAGACTTTCAAAGGCATAGCTAATAAATATAAGTTTTTATTTTCAACAAATTTACTAATAAAGGAACCTATATGTTCACTGATCGACATTGATCGGCAGAATATTATAATGGTTTTTGTTTATAAGCCTATTTAAATTGCTCACCAACAAATAATATTTATGAAATTCTTATAAACACAGGTGCGCTGGTACCAGGGTTTTCTCGATGTGATTAATATTCAATTATTTCTGAATAACATGATTTTGCAGCATAAACAGTTCCAAACATACCTTGAATGTTAAATCGATGACTTAGTCGTGATGACTCCGTTGCTGTAAAAGGTATGGTTCGGGCAAACTATTATGAAACGTAAAAAAACTTTTGTAAGGCGTTCTTTACATTTTGTGTTAATATTTTATATTAATTTAGCCCAAAATTTACATTGTTTTGTGTAAATTTTTTTAGAATTTTTCAAAAGCAAACAGCCGAACAGATTACAATAACAATATATCATTTAATAGCTTCAAGTGGAGCAGTAATGCAGGAGGGTTTGCATTGTTCATCAATAAGAATTAAAGACACATCACGATTCATATACCAAGTAGTATTTAAATTAAGTTCAAAAACGGTCTTCGATGTATGTAACATCCTTGTCAATAAATTTATAGGCTTTAAAAATTTGACGAGTAATGTTTACATTTGCTAAACGTAGTCTTTAACGCAATTTCTCTGCTTGCTCACTCAACAAACAGTAGTTAAACAGTAGTTGGTTTGGAGGGGCAACCTTTTTTGTTGTTGTAACTAATTGAAAGTGTAACTAATATATATTGTTTAATTACTTTCTAAGCATAAAAACAGTTTTATGTACACGAAAACGCAATTATAAATATAAAAATTAACACAAAATTGTGTGATAAGCTTAAAAAATATCGCCAAGTATTTTCAGTTTCTGACCTCCCAGCCGAAGTTGTCTAGATCCGCCTTTGACAACAAATTACCTTTCATTAAGGTCTTATTAAATATTAACTAACGTTTAATAAAAATATCAGCAGATGAACCGATAGGCATTTAATTATCACGTTACTCTATGTGTATGCATGGCTTTTATTAAAAATGAGTTTGATTTTTTGAAATTTAAAAATATCAATTACACTTATTACTTACAACAATTAATATTTATTCCAATATTATAAAGATGGCCCATTAAAACATTTAACGTTATAGTTAACTTCAATCTAATTCTTCAATTTATATACACCCATCAGCTTGGCATTAAAATTGTTAATCTTTGTATTCCTTCTATCAGATTATTTTATCTTTTCAAGAAAAAAATTATTTCAACTACCTTATTAATATGTTTTAGAGATATCAACGCATCACACACACAGGTGGGGATGAACGCATTACACACATTGCATGTGTTGGCGGGGATCTTCTCGCATTTGAACCCACTCACTGTAACTGGCTTCTTCGTGCTTTCATATCACATTTAAAATATTATTTAAATGTAAGACAAACTGGATAAAAAGGTCAATTTTTTTTGTCGATTGGGCTGCTAGATTTTAATTTTTTTTCAATTTTTTTGTTTCATTTAACGGTGTCAGTACTCCGATACAAATTAACTGTGAAAATTTTTGAAATGGTTTACTTTTAGTAGAAGAATAGCATTTATTCTTTTAAATAGGTATTATTACAAATAATTAAATGCGTTAAATGACTAAATGCTCATGATTGCCGGGATTCGGCCAAAGAGGTAAGTTAAGCGGTTGGAGCGCTATCATGGTAATTTCTGCATGAATTTTGGTTTTGACGTTGGAACAACTTCTAAAAATGTTGCAAATTATATTAACACCTCAGGTAGTTGAAGGCTCCAAGCAACACAATTTGGTGGTCTTTAATGTAATTTTTAACAGTCGACATTAATGACGGTGCAATGTTAACTATTTTGCAATTCAAAATAAAATCGTTTAACTTAACACTTATATAATTATTTTTGAAACAGTTAACTAAACTAAGAAAAATAGCTAAACTTTTCAAAACTATTTTGCAATTATTTTTGTATTTACTTCTTGTCAGACAGTATCTGAAGCAATATTAACGGTGCAACTTGACAAGCCATAGAAGCCATGCAATCATTAGTTATTTCTTTGAAACAACTCCTAGAAACAAATTTAAATATCAAACAAAGTCAAAAATTAAAAGCTTTCTTAACGGGCTCCATAAGTTTTTTTTCATCAGCTTAATAGTTTCATTTATTTATGCTCATTTTGTTTTATAATTATCTGGAATTATTAAAAAGCGATAGTGTACGGTAAAGTGCCTGGCACTGCCAGTGCAGTGACCGGATTCGATTACAAATAAATCCCGCCTATCACATGCAATGTTTGTGATGCGTTGTCTGACGCGTATTTACATGCACTGTGTATTTGTTGTTAATAACTCTGAAAACCACGTAAGAGTTAATTGTAATGAAATAATACACTTATTTTGACCTAATATTTCACACTAAGGTGGCCTATCCTACCTACCTAAAGTACCTACCTAAGTACCTACCTAAGGTTCTATCCTACCTACCTTAGGTCCTATCCTACCTACCTAAGGTCATATCCTACCTACCTTAGGTTCTATCCCACCTACCTTAGGTCCTATCTTACCTACTTAAGTTTTTAAATAATTGTTTGATGAAAGTTAAAGTTCTATGTTATATCAAATTTTTTTACATTTAGAGTCACAGATTTTTAACATAGTTTTCAACATAGTCATAGATTTTTAACATAGTTTTTAACATGGTCATAGATTTTTAACATAGTTTAAATTATATCATAAATATACAAAATTATTGGTCAACTAACCAATTTGCAGATACACGCGGGCCAGTATGAAAACTTTTACATGTCTAGCGATAATTTTCAACGGCTTATTCGCAATTATTATCAGCGGTCAAAATCTACAAGTTGGTCTATCCGATGTACGGACAAGTAGGGCCTCCGCTTCAAACAAAAGCACAATTTTTGCCAGAAAAAAATTATTTGGTATTGGTTCTAACCCTAGTTACTCGCCATACACAAAAGTTCCTCAATATATGTTAGATCTTCATAAGCAGTACAACACAAGATTACGTTTGGGAAAAAATAAAAAACGTGCGAAATCTTCATCACACTTTGTAGGAAACACTATAAGAGGATTTATGACAAACACAAGTAGTTATTATTCAATACTTTTGATTTTTGTTTAATTTTTATATTTTAATTTAATTTGCAACAGCTAGAAAAACATATCCCTATTTGTCGAGATCAAATACATTTAACCACCAGTCAGTTGATGTAGTATTCCGCATAACCAGTATGTCTGATGATGAAATTTTTAATGGTGCTGAATTGAGATTCCTTTATCACTACCATTCTGAAGACACAAATATCACTTCTTTGATCACGAATGTAATGAAAAACTGCAGAACGTTAAACTTTTTATACATTTTCCACAGAATAAAGACTGGAAACGATGTTTTAATGGAATATAAAATGCTCGAGCCTAATTTTTCTGGTTGGATTTCTGTTGACGTCAGCAATATAATTAAATACAACACATCTGATCAAGTATTGCATTTTAAAATAATTCTAAAAACTGCAATCGACATTAGAAAAGCACAGTCCTCCTCTGCAAAACATTGCGTCACTAAAAATGATGCAACGCAAAAATTGACATATAAAATGAACGTCATACACCATCCATTTTTAGTCACTTATTCAGATGACATCAATTTTATTCATAAAAGAAAATCTTACAGTCACCGTTACAAGCGAAACAGACATTCTGTTATATTACATCAAGCAAAGAGATGCAATCTTCAATCGATGTACGTACATTTCGTGGATTTCAGTTGGCACGACTGGATAATTGCTCCGAACGGATATGAAGCAAAATTTTGTCAGGGCAATTGTCCCAGTTTTATGTCAGACTATTTTAATGCTACCAACCACGCTCATGTTCAAAGCATGCTTCATTCGAAAAATAAAAAACTAGTGCCGCCTCCGTGTTGCGTTCCGGTTGAATATGATGAACTGCCGCTGTTGTATGTCGATGAAAACGGTATTGTTGTGCTGAAAGGATATCCCAACATGATTGTGAAAGCTTGTGGCTGTAGATGAATCGTTTTTTATTTATGTTATGTAATAATTATATTCGTAACATCTCTTTTTAAATAAGACTTAATATCTAGTCTTCAAAAATTAATGTAAAATAATAAACAATTTAATATAAATAAAAAACATTGTTTATTAAAAAATTTAAAAAATGTAAAACTATTATTTTTATTATTGAATGCTTTCTAAATTATTGCAAATGAATGATTATCATTGTACATAAAAATAATTTTATAATGCAATAGAACATTTTATAGAATGAATTTAATTTGCAACTTTTGTACAAAATTTCATTTTGATTTCTGTATTGTTCAATTTTTATTCACTATGCCATTAAAATCACCAAAATTTTTTATTTAATTCAATAGTAAATAATTAATGAAAACATAAAAAAAATTAAATAATTTCTAGCCCTGCCGACAACGCTGGTATATAAACTCAAATTAAAAGTATTAACTGTTGAAATAAAAATGTTGAAATAAAATTTTAAATGTAGAACAAAGATACAAAGACATAAAGTGAGAAAATAAAAAAGGCAGCATTTTTATCTGATTCTGACGAAAATGAATATTAAAAACATGATTTTGCTTATACATGAATTATATGTAGATCAATCAATCAATGATCCTCCTTTGTCCATCGGGAGACCGTCGAGGCCGATGGTGTACATCTAAGCATGCTTTTTACATTTATTTTTTTCTTTTTTCTTTTCAAAAACCTTTTCTATCTTTGGCCAGTTTTATTGAATTCAGAATACCAACACCAGTTCATTCAGTAATTTCATCTATCCATTTCTTTGCAGGTCTACCAGCTTTTTTCTTCCAATCTCTTTTCCTCATTAGTACCATCTTAATCAATCTGTCTTCTCTCATTCTACAAATGTGTCTAAAAAATCCATGTCTCCAACTAATTTTCAACATATTTCGTTAACACTTCATCTCAAATGCTTCCAATCTGTTTTTGTCTCTTCTTTATTGTCCATGTCTCACATGGATAGAGCAAGCTCGGAAAAACGCAAGATTCTATCATTCTCAACTTTGTTTTTATAGATATATTTCCACTTTTCCATATTTCCTTCAATGATGCGAACATTCCATGGGCTATTGCTATTATTCTGTCAATTTTTTTGGTGCAGTTGTTGATACACAAGTTTATCTACTTGTTCGAATTTTTCTGATTCTATCTGAAATTCCGCATTGTTTCTGCTTTTCCCTTTAATCACCACCTTCGTTTTGTCTTTGTTGATATGCAACCCATGATCTTTTCCACCAACATGTGTTAGTTCAATTAGTTTCGGTAGACCTTCTTCACTAGTAGCTAGTAGGTCTATATCATCTGCAAACCTGAAATCTTTGACAGTTCTCCTTCCTATGTCAATTCCACCAAATTCCAAATTTTCCATTTTTTCCATTGCTCTTTCTAACAATACTATGAATAGTATTGGTAATATTGGATTGCTCTGTCTGCTTCCAATGTCTGCCTTGTTCAATTCCCAAGTTTTGTACCTATTATTACCGACATTTTTGATTCTTCATAAAGCCCTTTCAGTACTTTTACCAGCTTTTCTGATGTCCCCATACTTTCTAATGTTGCCCACAAACGCTTTCTTAAAATCAACAAAGCGACGGTAAATTGTCTGACCGCTACTTTTTGCATCTTCCATCTGCAGTCTCAACATCAGAATTTGTTGAATCGTGTTTCTGTCTTTTCTGAAGCCTGCTTGTTCTTCATGCAGAGTTGTTGCTCTATGATCTTTTCCAGTCGTTCTTTTATGATGGTCAGCATGATCTTGCATATGTGCAGAATTAGTGCAATTGATCTGTAATTATTACAGGTTTATTCTCTTTTTCGGCAGCATAACCAGAACTGACTTGCACCATTCTTCGGGCCACTTTCCACTTTTCCAAATTTCTTGACAGAAGGTATGACTTGTTCTCTTGCTTTTATCAGTTATTTGCTGTTGTGTTTACCATTGTGTTTGTAGCGTTTTTAAAACAGTGTAGCAAGCTCTTGTCAACCCTCCTCTTTTATACGGACTTGGGACCGGCACCGAACTCTGCTGGATTGCAGCCCCAGTGGTGGAGTTTATATGTAGATACATGTTAACTATGTGTAAGGATGTGCCTGCCATCAGCTTTATTTGTGATAAAAGTTGTTACCAAACGAGTTACTGTTGTAACTGCTGGAATGATCAAATTGAACTATATTATTTGTTATTTCGATTATTTGTTATTTTTGTTATTTTTGTTATATTTGTAATTTTTGCATTTTAAAAACCTCTTGTATGTAAGAAGGCTAAATTGCAAATTTAGCAGCGAGGATTGGAGTGTTGTTGTAATTGTGATTTATGTAGTCACTTAAATTAATTTCTATTACTGTTGGCATTCGAATAAACGTTCAACTAAGTTTGCGCTTGAAGCATTGTGTTCATCCATCGGAAATCTTGAACCTACGGAATAACGATAACTTGACGATCGTTGGAAGCTACAACACTGGTGTTGAAAATAAAGATCATTGAAGTTATAACATTGGTGTCTGTAGTAACGTGCGTTGTTAAAGTATATAACAATAGTGTCATAAATAAGATTTTTGATAGATCGAAACTTCTTGCAATAAAAAATGCCAAAATTAAATGTACTCGATACAATTTGTATGAGGAAGGAACTAAAAAAACGAAACCGAAACCTTAACTCGAAAGAAAGGAAAGCTGTTTTGGTAAACCGCCTAAGGAACGCTCTGATAAAAGAAGATAACGAACCTGATGAGTTCAACATTTGAAGAAGGTGCGCAAGAGAGACTGACTTTCAACTTTTTTTTAAACTCATCTTTAAAAATGAGATTATAGGCAAATCAGATAAATACAACCAATTTAACGGCAATTTATAGGAAACAGTTTCCAATCTAGAGTAGGATAGGTTATGAGACAAAACCGTGGATCTAGCATGAGTTTTAGATGCACCGCATCCTACCCGCATGCTAACCAAATTTAAGGGTTATAAGTGTCGTGTTTTAATAAATGGTCAAAAAATTGGTTTCTACAAGCCTCAGATTTAATCGGCCATTAAAATAAAAAATAGTTAAAATTTTGGAGTTCAAGTACAGGGATTCGAGACGTAAGTCTAAGTCTGAGAAGTATAAGACCACTTTTATTGGAGCAATTGGTATAGTATCAGAATTCACTGTGGCATGTAATGTACCTTTTTTTTATCCTGAATAACAAACAAATGTTTACATCAATATTTCGAATTTTTTTGATTGTTGTGGCTCTCCTGTGGTGTGATTTATGTATGTTATTCATATATGTTATGATCTATGGGTGTCATGAGGAGGCAGCCGGTTATAGTCTGTAAGGCAGAATTTTGAGTAGTTTAGAGTTTTTTTGGAGAGTGATTTGGGAGATGTTAGGAAGCCAGATGTCTGCGGCGTAGTTGGTGACAGATCGACAGATTGATTTAAAAGTTGTGAGAGAGGTTTCTTTTTGCTGCAGTTAATGCCTGCCAGAGATTACTTGAGAATTATGTTTTTTTACTGGAATTTTTTGCTATTGTTTGTGTGTGTCATTTGAAAATGAAGAAGGTGTCAAAATTGACACCAAGTAGTTTTAGGTGTTTAGATGAGTTAGGTTTGTATTGTTGATAGTTACTGAGGTGGGAATGTTTGATACTTTTGTGAATGGGTTGAAAAGTGTGACTATTGATTCTGTGGTAAAGAGAAAGAAAGTGAACGATTACTGAAAAATGTTGTTAGGCTTGTGAGGTAGTTATTGAGGGAGGTCTTGATTGGTTCAATAAGGAGGCCCAAGGATGAAATTGTAAAGTCGTCCGCGTAGCCGATTATTCGGACGTTAAATGGAGGTGGAGGTATATCTCTGATGTAGGCAGGCAAGGTGGATTGACTAAAAATTTTAAGCAGGGTGAGATGGTTGATAGAGTCATAAATTTTGGTGAGATCGAGTGCGACGGCAATGGTGCTGTAGACCGTTTTTTTGAGTTCGTTAGCAGGGTTTGTGAAAAGTTGAAGTAAGGCTATGGTAGTGGAGTGGTTTGGACGGAAGCCATGATGACAATCAGCTGGTCGAAAGTGGGTGCTGATCGTTGGGAGGAGAAGAGATTTGAAGATTTTTACAATAGAGCAGAGTAGGACGGTAGGCAGAAGGCAAAGTGGCGCCTTTACCAGGTTTGAGTGAAAGGACTATATTGGAGCTTTCGCAAATGGTAGGAATGTTGCAGGGTTGGATCGAACGATTGAGGAAGAAGTGAGACCGAAGTTATCAAATTAGTTGAGGTAGATGTTGAAAGTGTTGTCAGGGCTAATGTTTTTGAAATTTTTGGATTTTCTGGTTGCGAAAGTTTCCAGGTTTATGCCGTGCAACCAACATTGCCTGGTCGTAAGGGGCGAGCAGGCGATGCAAATGAATACGGGTTTTAATTTAGTGGTTCCTGTTGCTGTTGAAAATACAGATTTAAGAAAGAGAAAAAAACAAAACTTTTTAAAATCTAATATAAAATTTGTGATGCAGCCAAAAATGATATCTTTGGTATAGCCATAAGCTCTATAATGCAAAAATAAATATAATTTTTCAGTAGAGTTTTTCAAACATTAATGGCTAGTGGTTAAGGTCGCTTGGTGCTGTTTCGCAGTAACCAGGTTCGAATATTGCAAAATGATCCCCGTCTATAACTTGCTTAGTGTGTGATGACACATACGATGTTTGTGGCGTGTTGTTGAATCCTCTGAACTTTGAAAAAGTGTAATGTGACATAATTAATTAATCTTTTTATTTTGGAAAAAAAAGACTTTTTATTTTAGCTGCCCAAGCTTAGAACGCGTTAATTGCATATCTAAAAAATTTCAACACCATAAGTCGAAGTGACTTCAAAAAACGTCTGAAGAATCATTTATTCAACCTCCAACGGCAAAGAAAGTAAAGAGATCGAGTTTGAAATCAACTCAGGAAAAGCGCTGTAAAAATTCTATATACGATATAAATACGATACGAATACGCTCAATACGATACGGTAAAATGCATCTTTAAAAGTTTTAAGGAGTAATTAGCATGTGTGCGAAGGGGTAAATATTTTATTATGTATATATTCAATGAATTTATCTGAATCCACCGTTGATGCATCGCCCCTGATATACTTTGCATTAAAAAAATTATTTTAGAGAATTGTAAAAAAATAAAGGGGTAAGAAAATTATGTATATATATTTTATTAGACTGTAGAAAATTCCTCATTAAACAACCGTTCTTATTATTAACCATTTGAAAGGTTTTCACAAATTTTTCCGTTTTGTTTGCTGGTACGCATAATCTGGCTTTGTATATAAGTAAAGCGTCTCATATATTTATTTGGTATATATGGCCAACGGCGTCAATCTCCCTTGAATAATGGAGGCAAAAATCTCTGCCCTAATAAAAAAGCATTTGCGTTATCTACTGTTAACCATATACTAATACAATCTGCCATAACCAGCATTCATTTGCTATGATAAAAGGTCTTCTTGGTTTTTATATTGAAAGTTTTATTTTATTTTATTCAGCTTTATATAAGAACAAAAACAGCGTTGATTTTACACAATTTTTATACAAAAAATTATTGTTTGATAAAAGGATTGGTTAAATGCATATTTTTAAGATATATTAGCAGGTTAAATATTAAATATATAATTAAATTAATTTTAAATTTATTAATAAATTAAATATAATTTAAAAGTAAATGTAAATGTATAATGACAAAAATACTTATCGATCAAAATTAATTCAAGGCTCATTTCCTATTTTTAAAAAATCCAAAAAGTTCCTTATAAAATATGTCCCTTCAACGTTTTTGTAAATTTATGATGTAAAAAAATGCAATATTTTTATTTTATATATATTTATCATATGGGCTATTCTAGTTTTAAAATTTTTAAAACAAATTTAATACTTGGCTTTCCTCATGTATGCTGTTACATAGAACAAATATTAGCAAGGGTCTTCAAATTTTTTGTGCTTTCCAGCGTTCTTGACGTTCAAATTTAAGTTGTGACATCCCTAAAGAGCATTTGTCTTCCTTGTTTATCTTTTTGTTTGTTATCATTTTATCCCAAGTTTTTATCCCAAGTTCTTCGGCCGACTAAGAAGGCAGGCATCATGTCACGTCCGATAACACCGACGCATCACAAGTTGGCTGAAAAGTTAACAATTTTGTGTGATCGTGCAAATGGCATGCTCATTAGAATATATAACATCAAAAAGGTAAACGAACAAAACATTTAGTTTAGCTTTAGTAGCAAATTGTCTTTTTTTAATTAATAATTTAATGATTATCATTTAAATTTTAAAATAATTTAGTTTATTTATACACATGTGACTTACTTTTGTCATTATCGAAAATTTGTCTCCAGGAACAGAACAAAACAGCTTTTATTTTTTAATTAATTATTAATTTAATTTTAATATTATTATTATATTATTAATTATTTATTTTAATTATTGAACCAAGAATTTTCATTGTCACTTGCCATTAGCCTAGTCTACTACAAATTGTAATTATTAATTTAACTTAACCCATATTAAATCATCACAGAATTTTATAAAATTGTGTACTTATTTTGTTTTGTTTCTACATTCAAACATCATAAAAAATTTTGAAAAAATTCTAGAGGCAAAACTTTTTTTTTTCTAGTCAAAAATATGACCGTCAGTTTAAACTGACGCTAGCCACAGATGGTTGGGTGTTTTTTTTTATGTTAAAAAATATATAAAAATGACCACCATTTGCTTAATTTTTATTAGTAAACCGTTTATTTGATCAAGTAAATTTATTATTTCTAAAATTAAATTCAAAAAAATTTTGTTCGATAAAACGTTCATAAGAAATATTAATCATGTCAGCAAAATTATTACGGTTAAGTATGGCTCAAATGAAATGACTTGAAACAGCCTGGATGTAACCCAACATTACATTTTTCGCATGCAAATATGGATGTCCCTTTGCATCCAGCAGCAGCACATTGTCGCTGAGAACTTTGGATAATCCAGTGAGCAAACCCGTCTGTTCGTATATCAGACAAGTGAGAGTCGTGGATCAGGACATAATAATTTTTGATTTTTTTTTTAGAAATGCTTTGCATATACACTTGTACAATTTCACGTCGAAATGAGAGCAAATCATGAACAGAAGTTCCAGTATCTATTTTTATTTTTTGCAGACGATACAACTGAAAGGCATTTTGAACTGCCAAATCTATACAGAACCTAAAGATTGGCCAGTACCACTTTTTTGATCTATGCTGTGTCATATAGCAAGCTACATTTTGGTCAAAACGATCTACTCCACCCATTCCATATCTGATGCCTCTGCGAAAAGTTGATTAGAATTTAAATGATTCAAATTTCCTTCATTTGAACATTCTTCTCCAGAATCTTTATCCACCGTTTACATTTGTAGGTGGAACAATTGTGATATCTATGTCAAGCAAATTTTCATCGTCGTCGTCTTCTAGCATCTGAATCACTTCATAAACGTTATAACTTTAAAAAAAATTATTATTACTACCACTTTAGCAAAACAAAAAATGTTGAATTTTACTAAATTTTAAAAATAGAAAACAATATTGACCCATAAAAACTCAACTTAATTAGTTACTTATGATATAATAAATGACCTACGCGTCTGTGCCTAGCGTCAGTTTAAACTGACACATCAAAAACAGCTATACCGTTAAGATAGCTTATTCTATTAGAAAATAGCAACAACCAGAGGCGCCAACTTTATCAAATTATTGGGGGGGCAAAATAATTTAAGAATACGTTTGCAAACTTTTCTATAATAATTTAGTTTGCGTACCATTCTTCAATAAATTTACAATTATACAAGGAACATTGTGTGAAATTATTAATTTAAAAATTTATCATCAAAACCGCAATTCGACAAAACGGCATAAAGATTGCAAAATTTTAAAATTTAATAAAACTACAAGAAATCTGAAAATTTGGAATCCTATAAACGCATATTGTGTATAAATCCAAAAAGCAAAATGTTACTTCTTTCTATTAATTTTATTCACAATAGTATTTGTAAAAATTGAGTGTTTTTCTAAGAATCATATAAAAAGTACTTTTTCTCTGATCATTTCTTTGAATAAATTCGTTAATAATTGAATCCAAGTCCATTTCGTTTGCCACATCTTTGTGAAAATGAAGAAGAGATACAGAATTGAGTCGTTTTTGTCCCATTGTCGATCTTAGATATGTTTTTAACCTTCTCAGCCCAGAGAATGATCGTTCAGCGGTGGCGGAAGTCGTAGGAATGGTCACAAAAATGTTTAAAAACTTAACTAATTCCGAAAGAAGTTCAATTAGATGTGACTGCTTTTTCAAATAATTGATGATATCGTTTATACTTTCAAGGAATTGATCTGCTTCTTTTAAAATTTGCAGCAGCATCTCTCGTTGCACAATCAAGCGGTCTGGATCTATGTCCTCTTCATAAAATTTGAGAATCTTAGATTTGTTTGTATCGTCACCTAGCAAAAACTGCTCGATTTCCAAAATGAATTTGAATGATTTGCTCTCAAATCTCGTATCCAGTGCTTTTAAAATCGCATCAATAATCTCCACATATTGCGATTGATATATCTCCATAAGAGAAAGATTATTTTGTGGTTCTGGCAAATCATTAGTTTCGAATCGTTTTGGAATTTTTCGTTTTCTCTTCTAAGTTCCCCTTGTTCTACCTCGGCAGGTTTATCAGAAATTACTTTCTGCCAAAATTCAGAAAAATCTTTTTGGCAAAAACTGAGACTGGCTTTTAATGTTGCAATCATCCGATGCGCTTCTTCAAATTGCAAGGATTTTTTTTGTAACGTTGTGTTAACCGTATCTATGTATCCAAATAATTTTGTTAACATTATCAAAGTAAAATAAAAATCGAACTTTTCCATCAGCCGTAAAAATCCGGAAGCTTTTGCACCAGAATCTGATGAATCATTTTCAATCATATCGGTAAAGAAATCTATTAATTTTGAGTAGTTTGATAATAGAGACGACAGAGAGACATATTATTTGACTGTCCATCGGGTTGGACAAAGAGGTCGGAGGCCTGTACAAACATCAGATTTTAAATTGTGAAATATAACCAATCGTTTAGGCGAGTCCCTTACAAAGTTGATGATGTCTTTAACCATATTTAATGCATTGCTGCAAATAGGAAAAGTTTTGATTGCGTCCTGAGCTACAAAATTTAATGAATGAGCCAAACAATAAATTAATAATGCTTTTTTTTCGTCCTCAAGAATTTTAGCTTGAACACCACGTTTGTCACCATCCATGTTTCTAGCACCGTCATAACACATAACACTGTCCTCTACAGTTAGACAGTGGTAAATTAAATCTGAGAAGACCATCTTTGATCACCGAATACAAAGCAGCTGAGGTTGTAAATTCCACTCCGTAAAATCCGACAAACATCTCTTCTGCTTCTAATGGATTCTTTGTAAATGTTAGACAAAAAGCAAATTGCTCCTTGCGAGATATATCTGCCGTATCATCACATATAATAGCATAAAAACCCGCTATTTTAACTAATGAAATTATTTTCCTAAGAAGAGTATGGCTCAGAAGATCAAGAATTTCGTTTTGTATACCATGGCTACACCAAGTATATGATTCAGATTTTAGCCACAATTGCAGTTCCCCAGAATCTTCACCTCTTAACTAAGGTAAATTTACAAAATTACTTGTGTCATCATCGTGACCAC